TTTTCCAAATGACTCCCGATCAAACACAAAACCGACAGCAAAAGTAATTCTTGCAAATCTGATTCCTGTCAAAATCTCGACATGAATAGGTACACCACCAACATCAATCGAGGCTGTGAATCTGAAGACGCCATTCTTCTCCAGTTTCCGCAGAAGTTGCGCAGGCTTCATGGTAAAATCCCAGAGACCTATTCCTCTGCGAATGGAATCAGTTTGTCACTCAATTCTCAGTTTTGCAAGAGTGGCCAAAAACCTATTTCTCGTTACAATCAAAATACAAGCTTAATATAGAAGAGTAAAGAAATTCATCAGCTAGTGGGTGTGTTAAGTTCCTACCCATGAGAAAGAGTAAACATCTCATTAACAAATTAAAATAACAAATGCTTCCAGGAGCGAGCTTAGCTGGAATCTACTGGCTGTCAAGCTCTGAAAAGGAAACGCTGTGGCTGGGAATTACTAGTTTATTCCTTTTTCGATGAAAAAGACGTGTCTCAGTTTAAATTATTATTACTATTGTTTTGCAAACACCATAAAAATGTTAAATTTTTAATTACCAACTTACTTCAACGCATTTACGAAGAAATCAGGCAAGGAGACGGGATCTAAACCAAACGACGCCATTAGGTCTGTAAACGTAGCAGAAGGAGCATTGCCTGTGGCGTACACTCCGCCACTGATTACGTCCTTCTTAACCTCCGTCTTGAACAAAGTTCCTGTTTTGAGATAGTAATCCCCCTTGGCTTTAAACGTCTGGGAATTTCCCTCGGTGTAGTAAGAGAACCTAAAATAGGATAAAAAGGTCAAACAAACGTATCTCTTTGTTTCTTTGTTTGTTTTTTGTCTGTTTGCTGGTGAATTTTTGTTTGTTTCTTTTGCTTATTTATATCGTTGATAACATGTTTGGTCCTGCTTTTGTGTGTGATGAGATGGAAGGGAGGGGGGGGGGGTGGTGGCTAGAAATCCCCCACGGGGAACATAACCCCTATAATATGAAAACGAGAATGTATGTCGAAAATATTCAGATGATCCCGTTTCAGAATCATTTTGGAAACGTAGCTAATTTACGATTTGTTCTCCCAGGGGTTCATATTCAAAAATATTTTATGCTCAATTGTAAGTGACATTATCCTCGAAGAGATCCAACTCTGTCAAAAACATTGCTAAATTTCAGTTTTATGTTGTGACAATGATATGCAGATTCCTTTTGGGGATACTCATAGCTAAAGGTATACATCCATATATACAAAATTACAGCGCATGCTAATCTCACCTAACATTCTTCATAACGTATCCGGTTAGTGGCACATACTCATCGGAATTTGCGCACTGGAACTCGTACTTTCTGAGAGCTTGTGACTCATCAAACCAGATGGTAAACGCGGGAACATTCTCAGTTAAGGAAGGATTGGTCCACTCTGGTAAAGCATCGATCTTCGTATAGTAAGTTGCCTTGTTGGTTACGACTTTGTTGATGGTCAGTGGATCGATTATCTCAAAACATACCTAGACAAAAGCACAGAAATGTACGTTGGAATTTATGAAATTCACCAACGGATTATCAATTACATGGCATTGCTTCCCTTAATATCTAGGACAGACAAACCGTGCCATTGGTATTAAGTTCTAAACCTCAGATAACGACCATCTTTAATTTCCGATTGGTTTACTCAGTTAACCTTGTTGTTTCGTTTGCTTGTTTGTTCGGTTTTTTTATTTTATTTTTTTGTATCTTTTATAATACCTCGTTTGACTGTATATGGAAAATGAATGCAGCAAAAAAATTGTTTTTGTTGCTTGTTGTCGCGGGTGCTATATGTGAGTCAACAAAATATATGAAGTTAGTAGCCAATCCAAATAGTCTCTTCCAATGGGTAAGATCGATCTGCTAGATAACAAACTCAGAGTCTTTCTTTCATAATCATGGTTGAAAACTCTCAGGCAACCCTAACCCTAACCCTAACCCTGTTGAAGTAGTTGCACTGTAATTCTTAACTGTTACCATATTAAAAGTCACGTGAACCACAGACCTTTGTTAGCTGCTTTTGTCCATAATCATCTTTATCATCAGGAACCATTTGAACGGCAAACCATCCGCTTTCCAACTCAGTTCTCATAAAATTAAAGTTTGAATACACCGCATAGGGAATGTCGTTTTTATAAGCTCCAGTAGCTGAGAACTTTTCGGCTGCACTACACTCGGTAGCAATCCAGGATTTAGGATCAGTAGCAGTTTTGTCGGGTTTGTTCGGCTGGTAGGCTAAAAGGCAAGAATTTTACAATGTACAATAAATAACAATAAATCATTTCGTTAAGCTTTTGAGCACGACAGTGATTCCAAAGCGAAAGCAGCCATAGACTATGGCAGCTATTGTTTTGCTCAGTGTATGAGAGCGCCGAGATTAACCATTAATTTGCCTCAAAAAAGCAGGAGCAAAATCGAGCGAAATACTTGTTTGTGCGCTTCAAGCTCTGACCGCCTAGTTACAGTAAAAGCGTTTGTGTAACTTGGTCAGTTGTTATAACTTAGTTTTGCTTCAGATCGCCAGCAGA